CCGCCATCTTCTTAACGTGTAGGTAGCATAATGCTCCAATCGTGACAGCCCTGCTTCCAACATCTCAACACTTGAGATGTCGAACGCACGAATGGTGTGAGTGAGAGAAGCAGCTCGACGACCGAAAGTCTACTTCCCCGCAGCATCTGAAACATCCGGGTGATACATTGAAGAATGAGGTAGAAGAGGATGACGATGATACGGCTGACATTGTCGAGCTCAATGATGATGATGATGATGACGTTAATAATGATAATGATCCCGTTCGTACATGCTCCTCCACGTAGCTTTGGGCTTTCTCTTTTCAAATGGAAAAAAAAAAGAAAAAGAAAGAAACGAAAAAGCAAATGATCAAGCATGGTCGTTCACTGCGGGGTCGATTCTGACAATGTGCGTGGTACACAGGAAGAGCTCATTCGACAAGCATGCACGAACCTGCAAGTAGAGTACAATATTATGCTGTCCCCTACGTATCAAGTCCCGATCCTGTATTTCTTCCTGCACGACACCAAAAACGACAGCAGTGGCAAGTCTGCTAAAAGTCCAGATCGTCATCTGGATCTAATTTACAATCGTATTGTTCCCGCACCGTATCGATCGGAACTAAAAAGCGTTGGCATATTGGGCGGTCTGAGCATCGGGGTATGTTTGATATTGTACCTCTTCTTGCCTTCTCCCTTCCCTTCTCCCCCCTCCTCTTCTCTCCCCGCCATGTCTCTACAGCCAACCCTTGTCCATCAAGTAAGAAAGAAGATAAAAAGAACGCTAACTAAACTGTAGCATCACCCCCTATCGGACCTTCCGGTATACTTTGTTCACCCTTGCAACACCCCAGATGCATTGAGGGACATAGCAAGGAGTAAACCAGAAGTAACCGCGGAGACGTATCTGCTCTTGTGGCTTGGCTTAGTGGGGAATTGTGTGGGATTGCATGTTCCGAGCGAAATCCTGATCGAGAGACGAAATCCACAAAGCGGGGAAAGTTTCTTCAAAAGCTAGGCTCCCTTTTGGAAAAGAAAGGAAGGACGAATGAGCAAGAGGACCCAAGAAAGCGGGTGCAATGTCCTTTTTTCCCCCTCCTTTGTCGACCGCAAAATGTAATATACGTCCTATGAATAATTTGTTGGTTTTAATCTTCATCAGATGATGCTTCCATAGAGACGTCGCTATCGTCTTCCTCCATCGGTGCTTCGCCTTCACTCTCGTCTTCTTCACGGGGTCGTTTGACGCCCTGTTGACCCTCGCTCGTTGGTTGCGATTCGGATGCGACAGGTTTTACCGTTGTACTAGCGGAGACCACAGCCGAAGGGGGAGCATTGAATATGGATTTTTGAAGTTCGGTAGATACGCCAGGCGCCGGTGCGGTTGCTGTTGTGTTATATGTACCTCGGAGCTTTGCTATTATATCTGAACTGCCTTTCGCATACACGATTTTCTATTTTCCAAAAAAGAATTAGAATTGTGAGTTTCATATCCCCATTGTTTCCAAATCAGGCCACCAAAATAACAGTATTTGTACATACCATCTCTTTGCCAAAGAACTCAAAACCCTGTAATGCTCGCATAGCTTGAGTGCTGGCTTGAATATCTCTGAATACAACGTGAGCTTGGCCGCGCATCTTTGCCGTTTTCATCGCGACAATGTCGAGGACTGTGCCGTAGGTTGAGAAGAGGGTGTACAGGGCTAGTCGCAAATCTGGCTTTTTAAGTTTATCTGGAAGATTCGTGCAGTATAGTCTGTAGTATAGTCAGTAAATGCGGCTAACAGGTTAAAGGCGGGAATATCGATATTTGATTTCCACGTACGTTTGGTTTGGAGCTCCCACATTCACCACCGCGGATGCGGGTTTGGCCGTCATTTTTTCTGAAATTCCAAACCTGGTATATCTCCTTAAACGAATTAAAATGATCTGTATATCACGGAGCACATCAATTGCTTCGACAACCTCAGGGTCCGTAGGCTGACTTCCTCAACTAGGTCTTTGCGTGTGGATGTTTTGTTTGTGTGAAGAAAAGCAAGCAGAAGCCAAGATCACCTGACTCCCACCATCTCCAAGGTTACTAGTAATCGTTTATCATCCTGCCATGGAGCCTCACAGTTCTTTGGACATAAGGCATCGTAGAGATACAGATTCAGAACACGCTCAACCCTGGCGATAGTAGAGAGCTCCTCCTATCGCACACTTGACCCTCCCAACATGGCTGCTGCCCCGGAAGTGCACCATCTCTTCCACCACCCAATTACCGACCACTCTTTCTCCGCTGATAAGCAGACACTGGCTGTAGCCAAAGATAATGTCGTCGACCTATACCAGAAATCAGGTTCCAAATATAACCTGAGCGATGAGCTTAAAGGCCACGATAAAACTGTGACAGGAGTGGATATTGCCCCTAGAAGTGGCAAAATTGTGACTTGCTCCCAGGGTCAGTGACACCGCTATCACCATCTGATTCCATATTGCTAAATCTAGATGTTTATTTTCAAGATCGCAATGCGTACGTTTGGGAACGCACTCCTGCCGGATGGAAACCAACACTTGTGCTTCTCCGTATTAACCGTGCCGCAACATTTGTTCGCTGGTCGCCGTCGGAGCAGAAGTTCGCTGTGGGCTCGGGTGCGCGCGCGATCGCCGTCTGTTACTTTGAGGAGGAGAACGATTGGTGGATCTCCAAACACTTAAAGAAGCCCATTAGAAGTACCATCACAACTCTGGCCTGGCATCCCAACTCAGTACTACTTGCTGCCGGGTCTACGGATTCACACGCAAGAGTGTTTTCCAGCTTCATCAAAGGCATCGAAGAGCGCCCAGAACCGAGCGCCTGGGGAGAGCGATTACCGTTCAATACTGTTTGCGGTGAATTCCTAAATGATTCTGCTGGATGGATTCACGGATGTGCTTTTTCGCCCAGCGGTAATTCTTTAGCGTTCACTGCCCATGATAGTAGTGTCACTATCGTCTATCCGAGTGCACCAGATCAGCCCCCCAAGGCAATGCTGAATATCAGCACTAGGTTACTGCCATTTATGAGTTTGATATGGAATGGAGAGAATGAGCTTATTGCTGCTGGACATGTCTGAACCCTAATAGCTACACATTCCAAGCCGAATATCCTTGCTGACTAGTCTCACAGGACTCCGAGGCATACCGCCTTAGTGGGGATGAATCTGGTTGGCAATTGCTGGGACCAGTGGATGCAAAAGCACGGGCGGGGGCTGACAGCGTCCGTGAAGAGAGTGCTCTAAACAAATTCCGCCAAATGGATATCAAAGGAAGTACGAAGAATGACACTCAACTCCAGACTGTACATCAAAATACGATTAGCACTGTTAGAGTCTATGAAGAAACTGGAGGCAAAGTTCGCAAATTTAGCAGTAAGTAGTCACTCTTGTTTCCAGCTTTCTTTTGGTGGGTTTTTTTGAGAAACAGACAGCTAACACATCATTAACTTTCGACAGCAAGCGGCGTGGACGGCAGAATCGTTGTATGGAGCGTGTGATATAGAGGCCAATGACAGATGAATGAAGCTCTTTTTTTCTAACTTCTCAACCTTTCTCCTACTCCCTATTCAAAGTTTTTCAACGATATGTGAGATGTCTCAGTGTCCTAATATTCTCCTATGTGCAATCGGTTTCCTTTCATGAATGAGTATACTTATTCGCTGCTGTATTCGTCTTCTTCTTTCCTTTCTTTGATGTGCATATATGCCTTATATCGAATTGCTGCTGTTTCTCGATTGTTTGATATTCACGGTCAGTTTCACAATTCCAGAGTTTGCTTCTTTCTATGGCCCCTGACTCAGCTGGAAGCATCAAACATGGTCTCGATGAGTGTTCTCGAATCACCTTGAACGTCTCTGTAGTCCATTCACCCACCCCCATTTAACATTTAACCCTTAGATACAAGTACCTTGATGGATCTTGAGTTGGAGATCCTAGCTATATAAACCTAAGTTGTTCGTCATTCCACCTAATTCCCTGAAGGATTTTTTGTTTATACACTTCAGATTCTCCCACCGACGACTCGTTCAACACTACGCATACTTCACAAATCTCATAATAGAACAGGAGGAAGCTTTTCTTGCCTAATACATCCACATAAATACGTCAGTTGATGATGGGGACAGCGAAAGCTAAAAAGGACGATTCTCATAAACATGGGAATTCTCAGCCATCAGCATCAATACCTGCAGCCGATGGTAATCCCACCATTAGATCAACCAGCCCACCACAACCCGCATCCTTGAGGCTCCCTCCAATAGACCAGAGTAGGGCGCAAACTCCAGGTCGTCATCTACCACCTATATTTCCGCATCCTGCGCCAATGAGCCAACCTCGACAACTTATCCAACCTCCGTTGGGCGATAGTAGCGCATACAAACCATTTGACACATTCCCCACGCCGCGGCCAACAGCCAGCCATACCCGCACTCTCCAATCGATATACCTTCGGGAAATAGAATTCCACTGTATATGTGCTGCCCGCCGTTTTTGGGAAGCCCACCGTCCGCAGCCGATGTTAAAACTGGTCGTCCCGAATGCTGCCCGTCCCTCACGCCCATTCGGCTCAGATATCCCCTGGAGGGGTATCAACGTGCTGACAGATCCAGCATTCCGAGATCTTCAGCAGCCGATAAGGGAAATTTTCCGTACAGTCGACCAGGCCACTAGGAATGACGATGGGCTGGGATTGCGAGAGTATCTGAGCTTGATTGCAGACTTGGATTGGGATCGGGTTCGCCAGCAACAACATCAACAACACCTGTTGCAACAGGGACAGCAGCAGCAATCGCCATCACGGCTTCAACAACCGAGTCAGCAACAGCTGACCCCCTCTGGACAACCAGGAATACCAACGGTAATCACCGCTCCCCGGCCCCTGTGCCCGCCACCAAATAGCAATGTCGTCGATACAGCCCGAAAGGCATACTCTCCACAATTCACGACTATCCAGCTACTCGACGATCTGTACACATGGTGCGAGACTGTGGTGGATGCGGTACTTAAAGTGAATGTCTGGGATGGCGATAAAGAGCCAGTGGAGCTGAGCTTTGCAGAACTGGAGGGTGTTGTTTCATCAGCTAAGGGGTTGGCTCTTTCGTTGAACGGAACAATGGAGCATCGTGCTATTGGTGAGGTTTGGGCGAAATGGCTTCAGTCAAGATATCCATAATTCTTGGTTACTGGATGGCAGGCGGTGGGAGTTGATGCTGGGAGAGATTGAAGGATACATGGATGGATGGTCACGAGGGAGGGGATCTTTGCGATTCATGGGCCGAGAGTTACCTTTTTTCCACCTCTCACTCTCACATTTTTCTCTTCCTCTTCCTGTTTCAATTTCTTTTGTTTATTCTCTGCTTTCTTCCGTCATCCTTTCCCTCATATTTTGTGATTTAGTTTTCTTTTTCCGCTGGTGCTCAATGGCCTGATCCTCCTGAAGAAATTGTCGTAGCTGAACAACACCCACCCCTCTTCACCAGGCAATGCCACGTCTTAGCATCTCTGTTAGCGACTCAAAAGAATGTACCATTTTCCATTCACAGGTAGTTTCCTGGAGTACGTGCAATAGTTTCTTTATTGAGTCCAAGGATTATCTAGCGACGCATTTACGTCGTGATCTAACCGTGTAGGGAACTAGTATGCGAGTATCGTAAAATGTCCATGGGGATTTTTTGGATCCAAGGGATTGCTCGGGTGGTTGGAGGATAACTATCGGGAGATCTCAAAACTCTTCCAATAATGGTTCCCCTTCGCCGCCAAAAACATGTCGGGTTCCCGCTCCAGGTTGCTGAATGAGAATTTCCGCGTGGGAATAGTCCATAAAGGTCCAGTCCGGCCCAAAGCTGCACAGGGCGCAATTCTGGGGAAATGGTTAAACCGGAGGGCGACACTTCCTTTGTTCTATGACCTCTCAGGTGTCTCTCAGCCAGGATGCGACGAACAGCCGAGAGAAGCATGGGGGCGAATGCTTCCAAGCTCAGAGCAGGCAATTGGATCATCGGCATCCAGAGAGAGCAGTCGGAAAACGATATCGCCAAGTAGCCTGCCTGAACAGGGTTGGTTCCCAGGAATACCTTGTTTCCTGGCCAATGCGTGGCAGGCGAAATTCTTAATTCGTTTTAATTCATAGAGGCCTCCTTTCTGCTTGGAATTGATCATTTCGCAAAGCACTAATTACCCTGCAATCCGTTGCCGAAACTCTATCCCATCAGGACAATGCTGACGATATTTTGATATGGGCGGATGGCCCTCAAGTGTTGTAGTTCGTGCCAGGATTCGACAAGATTCCTACATGCTCCGCTTGAATTGACTGAGATTGACGACAAGGATGTGTACATGAGTATATTCGATTCGTTTCTAGCGGGCGAGTTCCCCCAGCAGCTTCGTAAATCCGACCAAAGGCTTTGTGCCCGACACTGTGAGTGTCTCCGTCACTGTCAACGAACGGGCTCTGCTTCGTAGGGAATTCAGCATCTCTGAAAATCGAGCAAATCTTTAAACCATTCCTTCCTACTCGGTAGATAAATCTAGAGAGATAGAGAACTGAAAATAATGCCTACTATTGAAGATCCATAAGAGTATATATTCGAGAGCTCGTCTGAAACGTTCGAATCCCGCCTCATATTTGGATGTTCGAGGGGAGTGGGCCTGGAAGACTGCTTCACAGCATTGTTACCATTAGTGCGACATCCAGCACCAGCATATTTTTGTCCCAAGCGTGGGCTCAAGCCTACCCTGAAGAAACGCTGAAAACTTCCCAACTCAGCTTGGGAATTCCCAGCTTAGCAACACCCGGCGCCCCATCCCACCACTGTTTCCCGATGATCAAGTTCCGTCGATCAGTGCACCAGAAATCCCAGACACTCAGGTTGTCAATGGCCATTTCACTATGGAGTTCTTGCTTCTCCATTACTCTCTTGCTATGACTCCAATCATCCGCAAAGTTCAGTCACTTTCCGTTAATCCTTGCCCCATTCCTTAGCTGTTTCTTTTCTTTTTGTGAGAAAACGGCGTCTGCAAGTCTGAGTTAGTATACGAGAGGTTTGAAAGTCGGTATGTATCAAAAGCAAGTGAGCGGATACAGACATCACCGAGAAATTTCTTGTTCTACATATATTCACGGTTCAAAACGGGATAACTGCACAGGAACCCAAGTTGACACAGGAATATACCTCTACAAACGCAGACCGTCTCGGGGGGGTGTTGAAATGTGTGCTATTTTATTGCAGCAGCTATTGCTGAAAGCGGGATTTCACATTGATGAATTCTAGAAAAATGGATTTCGATGCATCATATGAACAAGAGTCTGAATTGGAGCTCCATTTTTCTTGTGATTCCTACCAGACTCTCGACAATCGGTGTGACCGGAATTATTAGCCATCGCTTAGATAAATTGGTCTGATTTCAGCCCAGGGTCACTTTCCGATGTCAGTTTTCACGGCACAGATTTCGAACCCACACTTGATCAGAGGGATACCATAGTATCAATCAACATTCTTGGAACTGCTCTGTCTCCATCTTGCGCGTAATTTATCATTCATTCATTCATTCGCGAATGGCAGGAACAAGTTCCACGATCAGATATTTCAATTGTTCATATATCCGGTAAGAGAGAGATCAAAAGCCCATCTCGAGAAGTTGATGGGAAGCGCATCAAATACCGCGGGTTGATCTGGAATGTCTCGACTCTCCCAAAGGGTCCTTGCTTGCGAATTTCAGAGTCCAAGAAATATTCTGCTGGAGGAATTGGATTGGGAGGTTCGTCCACTCTACTACCAGCAGGTGAACGAGAGGTATGCACTTAGATCATTATACTACTGTACTTATTGTGGCACAACCCGTCATTGGCCCCAATCAAACCATCCCATATGGTGTAGTGGCTAACATCAGCGTCTCTCACACGCTAGCCGGGGGTTCGATTCCCCCTATGGGAGAAAGTACTTTATTTTGGTTCCTTTTTTTTTTTTTTTTTTTTTTGGTTCTTGATTGTTACTATATATTATATTCATTTATGTCAATTTGACACGAATCATTACCACGAATCATTACCACGAATCACACACCTCATTATCAAGTTTGCAATGCCAGATCCATCTACAAAGCCCAAGACAGGCAGTTTGATGCTGCGTTGCACAGGCATGATACAGAGTAGCATTCTGTCAAGAAGGGAAACATGAAATCATTCAGCCTGAATTCTGAGATGGGAATCCCATGAATTCCTCATACGCCAGAACCAGCAGGCGTAATGGCAGCTATGTCACCTCGCTATGCAAACGGAGAGATCCCATATTCCTCCACCCCTTCTCCCCGATCCCCCAAATTTTGGACATGGATTTATTTTCTTTCCTTGCCCTTTTTTCTTTTTTCTATTCGGCAGCAGAATATTGCAAGGGGGCATTTTTGGGGTGTCAATACCAGGAGTCGTGCTGCACCACAAACGGGCAAAGCGGAAAGATACCACAGTCAACAAAATGGCACATTGACCAACACACTCACTCCTTCAGGCCTGATCCGCCCATTTTGCCATATATAGGTATATCCTTCCGCCCTACAATGTATAACATACCTCCATCTCCTTGAATCCGACAAACCATATGATGGTATTCTTGGACAAATGACCCTCACTAACTGCGGCTGGAACTTCGTGATGGATCGATTGCCCACTGCGTACTCTAGCGTCAATGCATGAGCCTTCCATGATTTACACAAGAGTCGGAATTTTTTTGTTCAAAAGATCATAAGCTTTCATGAGCCAAAAAAAAAACAAAAGTACTTTCTTTAGCGCTTGATAAAAGACCAAAAGATTCAAACGTTGACTAGTCAGTTACCAACCCCAAACACTAACTTAGCCTCCCCACAAGCTAAAAAAGCCTTCCGTCTGAGCAAAATTTGGGTGCCGCAACCTTACTTCATTACCCTGTCGATGGGCGTTAATTTTAATTTCATAATAACTATCTTAGTTTCTATTATTTGAGAAATCCCACGACAATGCAGCATGCCTGGGAGAGGAGTAGCTTAGCGACAATCAGAAAATTCTGACGGATTTGGAGACGATCTTCACCTCAAGACAAAAACTCATGCATGTTTGATTCGATGGTTCGAGGAATGCCGTGGCAGCTGAGCCGCTCGCTGATCAGGGTAGCTGCATAAAGAGGCGCAGGCCAGGCGATGGCACCACAGGATCGGCAAGGGTGGGGTTTCACCCTTGGGGCATCTTAGGTCAACGTGTGTTGTCTCATACATATGCGGACCAGCTCAGAATAATAATCGTCCTTCTACTATGGGCACATCGCGGAGATGGGATAAGACATCACTGTCCAAAACCAGAGCGAGGAAACACACACATAAAGGGTTCTTCAGAATATGAATACGAGAGTATGGTCATCATATATTGTTTGGCATTATATACATATATATATCTCTGTGCATAGTGGTGGTTTGAAAAAAATGTATGAAAAAGTTAATGGTCGACAAGACGCATGTGACTGCGTAAGAACTTTGGTCTGGGTTGATGGCTCTAGAGAGATTCCAAAGAATTGTTCTCGACCTGAGCATTAGTCTAAAAATAATGTATAGATCGACAGCATTAGTTCAAGTCAAATGCAAGAACTGTCAGGTGCCATGGAGTGCATGTTGAAAAGAAACTGAAGGGGAACGGAAGAGAAAATAAAATAAAAACCGGAAACGAGAAATCCTGTGTCATACGACCGCGGGCCAGCCGCTGGAAAAATCAAGGCGATTCCATCCAATAAGTTGGTCAGCGTTCGACATTCCGATCTTGGTATTTGAATAGTGATAGTAGAGCACCGGGCCGTACTCTGGGTGTGTCATGACTCCTCTGTTCAAGAAAATATAGGGTTTTAGTATCAGCATTTACTCACTGAGCGCTTGTCGCTGGTTGACTTGTTGGTTGTAAAAGGAAACAACAACAACCGGGGAAAATTATGGGATGGGAAAAGAAACAAAACTTACTGGCCACCTGGTCCGAATATATCATCGTGGCTTGCGAGGACAGTCATACCTCCCCCTTCAGTACATGGCCGTCCATCGGGACCAGTCTAGTATCGGAATCAGCTACACTACCCCAAACGAAAATCGAGGAACAACAACATGGAAAAAGACTCACAAAAGGGCCAGACGCTTTAGATGACCGACAGGCCTTGATGCGATACTCTTTGCCTTTGGGAGGAGGATGAATATCAAAATCACCGGCTTGCCCCCAAGAGAAGAAAAGAAAGTAATCGTCATTGTTTCTGTAGAGATAGGAAGCCTCGATGTCGTGGTTCGAGCCTGGCTCGTAGGCGAGGTTGATAGCTGAAGATAACGATGATGCTTTGGTCGCATCGCCATTCATCCCAAGCTGGTAGAGACCGCCCCAATAAGATCCGAAATTGAAACGGAATGTGCCATCTCCATCCTCAAAGAGGTTGCCGTCAATGGCGTTGAAGTTATCGCTCGTCGTGGTCTGTACACCAATCGAGCCATGATCAGTCCAAGAACCTGGCTCCATGGTTCGGGAGGTTGCCAGCCCGATGGCAGAATTGCGCGAGCCAAGCGTTGACACTGAGTAGTAAACGTGGTACTCATCGTTAACTTTGTAAACATCGGGAGCCTGCATATGATCAACACAAAACTCCATAATTTCTTTCCGTTTACACCTTTCCCAAACCATCAACCACTTACCCAGAGGTCGTGCTTTCCTGGAAGATTTATCGACGAGCCCTGTGGCAGCATGGATTTTGGAGCTGACCACGGGCCCTCCATCGAGGAAGCAGACGAGATGGATATCCCATTGTATGACTGGAAGCGGAAATATTTCCCATCTGACGTCCGTCGGATGAAACCCGGGTCACGGCCATTGCAAGAGCCGCGACACGGTTCCGGATTGGGAACTCCTTGAACAAGCGTCCAAAAGAGGAGCTGGATGAACAAGGGGGTATGGAGTGAGAGCATGGTGGGTAATATTTGCAATAGAACTATGGGTTTGAAAATATCAAAAGCAAAGGTCGATAGCTTTTCGTCAGGTGAACAGTGGGAAGGGGACAGCTTTAAAAAGAAAGAGAATAAAATTGAGATATCGAGATTGACGCCAAGGATTTCCATGAATGTGGGTTAACTTAATCTGTGCATTCCTGGTCATTGCTTTGTGGAGTAGCTCGCGGGCGAGCTGTTGGTATGGGGCATGGGCTGCAACCGGCCAATGCAGGCATCGGCGCGGATTGGAAAGGAAAGAGAGTTATACCCAACACAATGTCTCTGGATAGCTCTGTCACAAGATCCAAGTTCTCGGCATCATTGCATTTCTTCGCTGAGCACCCACTATGCGCAGCAACCTGTTTTGAGGAAGGTGCTATGAGAGCTCCGAGGGGAACTGAACTTTGTAAAGAGACGTGCTTGACAGCGCGTAGCAACGCTCAGGTTGCGAACGGTAACAAAAAAAAGAGGAAAAAAAAGAAAGATAGAGAGAGAGAGAGCGCATTATTGTGGCAGTGTAGTTCGTGCAAGCTGATCACTTCGAGAACTACACGAGCCAATGTAGCGCTGGAGGGGGCTGAATGCTTTCAATCTCCTGGCTCAATCATCTTGGCAGACCAAGGTGACGAGAAGTCGTGATTTGCGGATTCTGTCAGCCTCAGCCGGCCCTTTAACCGATTGCCGAAGGGGTGAAGAGTTGCAGAAGAAAGTTCAGCATATGTCTTGGTCCACCTTGAAAATCCCGAAAATCGAGAGATAAGCTTCGACCCCGCAGCTCTTGTTCAAACCTTCCAAGCAAACCGGATGGCTGGGATGGTGAGATCAGCATCAGAAGGGAAGCACAGAACACGCATCATCTGGCTGCACTGGTTGCACCTATCTCGAGGTCCCCGCAGGTTCAGTGACAAGGGCAAGGAGCCTGTCAATGTTGATTGCCAAACTCTGGAGTGAGCAATCCACTCGCCACCAGCTGGCATGTGTCATCAGGTGTCATTCCCAGGTGTCATGCCTGGTTTCCTCTTTGATACTGTATACTGTTTCACTCCGCCCTGCAAGTTCAGTCTCTCCGAATGTTGGTCTCGGAAGTCCAAGTCATTCTCCCATGAAAATGCGGTGTTCCCTGTTGTCTAAGATTCGATGTGTACGCTAGCGCAGACCCGTCCTGGAGCCTCTGGTCCACCATCGGAGAATCACATGATATCAACTGTGTCACCAAGTCAACAAGGAATCACCTTTCACGAGAGAGCACGATATCCAGTAACCTTAAATATGCTCTTATTAGTTAACCAAAACCATGCTAATCTTGCCCAACAGGATCATCATATATGCCAAACGCTGGAAATAGGGTATGCCGTTAACCGTAGCTTTGCTAAGACCGAAAATTTTCCGGCATCAAGCGCCAGAAAATAAAAACAATGACGTCGCATAAGGGTATAGAGGAAAAATGAACAATAAAAAATGAAACCCGAAAAAACGGGAGCAAGGAGATTGGACATGAATGGGAAAACAACAAAAAGCACGCTACCAATGAAGAAAAATCCCGAAACCCGAAAATCCAAGGCCAAAAAAAAAAAAAAAAAAAAAAAAAAAAAAGGATCTAGCAGCTAATTCAACCCATTCCCATTGCTACCACATCGGCTCTTCCCCCGCCAACTTCCCCATGGCCACTTCCATTTCCAAAGCCATTTCCAGAAACCATGATCACCAGGAGCCTTCTCACCCCATTTCGGCGATGGCAAACAAATCCCCAAACGCCAAAAATAATCGCGGTGCCCAAACAGCAGTTCCCACAGCCGATAGCGGTGAGGAATAGGGCTCCACTCTGTCAAGACCTGGTTGATTTCATTACCATGGTCTTGAACTCGGACTTGCATCCGACCCCCCAGCCTCGATCCGGACGATAACAAGGGAAGTTGTTGCTGGTGCTGTTGTTGATGGTTAAGAGATATAGTAGTGTCCATAATTACACCATCATCATCATCATCATCATCCATGTAATCATCCCCGTCATTCCCAATGCGCCCGGCATCTGACATTCTCAATTGGGCTGTGGATAAAGCCAGGGTGAAGGGCAATAAGTATCGTTTATCCGCTAGTTCAGATCCAGCGATGCATCCAGGGTCCGCATCGCCCGCGCAGTGCTGAATATCAGAGATCTTAGGAGGCAGATCCGGTTTTGAGATATATATCTCACCCGCGTGAGGTCGGTAGCCCCATTCCGACAAAGGGAGAAGAGGGACTGGGTCGTTAATGTGCGTGACGCGGTGATAAGAGAATGTCTTGTTGGCGCTGTTCCCCGCATTCCGCTTATTGTCGTAATTCAACGATAGCGACGAATTTTTTAGACCGAATACCACATCTATATATTCCACCAGCCCCTGATTTCCCACCCTTGGCTCCCCAAACGTCGTTACCTGTGGCTGCCAGCCCCGAACCTGAAACTCGAGGCCGGCAAGGGAGGCAACGGCTCCGCCCAACGAGTGTCCCACCAGGACCAGCTGGTAATCGGGATACTTGGCCATCGTTTGTTTTAGAGGCTTCAGCAGTAAATGTCTTGCGTTCTTCCACGATTCCATGAATCCGGCGTGGACAGTGCAGTTAATGCAGCGTGGCTGGTCTGGCGAGGCTGGGTTTTTGGCAGGGTATGGAGCGTAGACCTGCGGGATAGCAGAGAGGTCCGCGATGGTGTTTGCAATCGAGTAGGTGCCGCGAAATCCTATGATGATGCGTTTGCGCCATGGTGAGTGGGAGAGGACGATAAAGCCGCATGAATCTGAGAGAAATGGGCCTGAGTTCCAGGTCTGTATTGCGTTTTTTTGTTTTTATGTTTTTTTTGTGATTAGCGAGTCGTAGCAAGATATATATGTAGCAGGAGATATGGCACGGCGTATGCTTTGCGACAATATCTGATATTTCACTGAAGCTCCATGGATTTACATACCGTGACCAGTTCAAAGCCTTCAAATTCATGACACCGTCCAGCGCAAATGAATGGCTTATACACGCCTGTCGTCCCAACGCAATAGGTTATATCAACAATACGGGAAAGCTCCTCAAGAGAGGTAAACAGCTCCTTCGATATCGTGCGTATCTCCCTCGGACTCCGTGTCGTGTCATCAATATAATCGGCCCGATGTTCCGGGAGGACTGCAGCGATGCTGTGAATTATTGCGGAGAAAACGAGGATGAGCAATGACTTCATCGTGACAGTAGTTGGACAGGTAGCAACGCGTTCATTGCATTCCTTTGTAATCTAGTAGCAAGAGTAGGGAAACTTCAGTCATCCTGGGCCATGGACAATAGGTTGGGTTAGGAGTTTAATAAGGCTCATGGAAGACTAGAACGTTTGGCTGAGAGCTCACACGACCTGGTCCGGTCATGTGACGTAATGAAGCAAATGGACATTATGTTGGGCACTAGTTGCCCAGGTGGCCCTCCACCGCACATGATTACCCCTATATAGTTAGCTAGCAATCGCACAATGAGAAGATTAACCATCCCACAGGTTATGACTCAGATAGCAGATTTTTAAATAAAACAATATGTTTTAATTAGAATACACTGCAACTGATATTATATTGAATAAGTTGAATATTATTTCCTTGAATAGAGAATTCTTTATCTATATAAATAATTGTGATGGGTTAGCACTCATTAGCAGTTAATTTACACAACTAACCCCCTACTGTATGCTCATATACTTATGTGTGCTTATGAAGTTCTCTCACATTTTCTTGTAATTTCATTTTACAATTATATATATCTTAACACTCTAACAATTCTTCTGCTCTGTGTTTTTTTAAAATACAATCTCTAATATTTCTTTTATTTCAATTTCTCTGTTTATAAAAATTCTTTTATATAATCTCTTCTTCTGATCTTCTTTCTCTTTTTTTTTTTAATTAATTTATAAACTGTTATCAGAATAGTGTCAAATTTATTGATAGTATTATTAAAATAAATTATATAAACTATATAGATAGTATAAATAATTTAATTTATAATATTAATAATATCTATTTAATCAGTAATATATCTATTATATTATAAATTAATTCATCTGTATTTAAAATTTGAATATCTAGTTATTAGATTCTATATCTGAATGTATCAATTATATTAAAAACTTGAGTGTTTTGTTATTAGTTTCTATACTCAAGTATGTTGATTGTATTAAAAGATTCAAATATCTAATTATTATATAAATTTCTTACTAAATCTGAATACTTTTATTATTAGATATATAGATTATTATATCTAAATATCTGTAATATAATTAATTATTTTATAAAGAGATCTGAATATCTATAAATTTATAATACTGTAAATAATATTTATAAAGTGTGATAGATTAGTATCTGTTAGTAGTTAACTTATACAATCAACTCTTTTTCATTCATTCACTCTCTCACATACTCTCACATACCCATGAAACACCTCTCTTCTCATAATCTCACTTTATACTTGTGTAGTCTTTAATAATTTCTCTATATAATTCTTAAACATTCTTTCACTCCACACTTTATTGCAGTATAATCTCTGATATTCTTTTATTTTAATTTTTCTTTTATAAAAATCCTTTTATATAATCTCTTCTTCTGATCTTTCTTCTTTTTCTTTTCTTAATCAATTTATAAACTATTATCAGAATAGTGTTAAATTTATTGATAGTATTATTGAAATAGATTATACAAACTGTGTAGATAATATAAATAATTTAATTTATAATATCAGTAACTTCTGTTTAATCAGTAATATATCTATTATATTATAAATTGATTCATCTATATCAGTTTGAATACTCTATATTTACAATTATATCTAGATACTCAAATTAAATTTAAAAATAAATTACTCAAGTTCTACAAAATCATATCACTGTAATAATACTGTAAGAAAGCTTAAATATTTAGAAGTTTATAACTGTATATCTATAAAAAAATCAGAATATCTATAAAATATTTTCTTTAAAAAATAAAAACTGAATCTTCTGATCTTTAAGTTATTAGAATCAAAAATTATAATTTTATATAAAAATAAAATGAACTATAAACATCTCTACAAATACTCTTTTATAGATAAAAATCAAAATCTTATAAAAGATAATACTGAATTTTATAACTTTCTTTAATAGTAATTTCTGTAGATAACAGAGTTTCAGCAATAACTGAATAATTTAAATACAAATATATCAAAAATTATACAAGTAATAATATCTCTTATATACAAAAAAAGAGAATATCTCTCTTTTCTCAATAAATTCACAGAAGAACTTTTAATTTACTTAATCTGAAAATAAAAAATAAAAACTAAGTTTAAAAAAAATAAGTCTATAATAGACTCTCTGCTCTTATAAACTCACTATATTTATAGTCAGTTAGAAAAAGATATTCTAGTTAAATTTTAATTTTAAATTGAGTTATATATATATAAAATATACATTTCTGAAGAAGTCTTTCATTAATTAGATATTCTATTCTTAAACTTTATATTTCAAGTATATACAATACAATGATTAAACAGAAATTATCAGAGAAATATATCACTGACAAACTATCTATTCAATTTCAACAGTAAGATATATAAAACAGAAGATCAGAACTGAGATAATACTATTAAAATTAATCTTCTAAATCAGTATATTAACTTTGAACTGCTCAAACTCTGTATTTTATATCTTATATTTATATATTATTATAACTACTGCATTCATTTATATCAACTTGATAATAATCTCACACACTTCAATACTGTTTAAGAAAGATATAATAATTATAGATAAAATTATATATCTACTAATATATTAACTGCATCAGCTGTCTCTGCAGATATTATAGATTAAATTTTATGATGAGTTAGTATTTATTAGCAGTTAATTTACACAATCAACCCTCTACTGTGTGCTTATATACTCATATATACTTATAAAGTTCTCTCACATCTTCTTACAATTCTGCCTCACAATCATGTATATTTTAATATTTTAATAATTCTTTCACTTTATACTTCTTCAGAGTGCAATCTCTGATATTTCTTCTACTTCAATCTTCTTATCTATAAGAATTCTCTTATACAATCTCTTTCTCTAATCTTCTTTTTTTTTTTTCTTAATTAATTTATAAACTGTTATCAGAATAGTATCAAATTCATTGATAGTACTATTGAAATGAATTATATAAACTGTACAGATGATACAAATAGTTTAATTTACAATATTAATAATATCTGTTTAATTAATAATATATCTATTACATTATAAATTGATTCATCTGTATTTAAAACTTAAGTATCTAATTATTAGATTTCTATATTTAAATGTGTTGATTATATTTAAAATCTGAATATCTTGTTATTAGTTTCTATATCTGAGTGTATCAATTACATTAAAAAAGATCTGAGTATCTAATTATTATATAAGTTTTTTGTTGAGTCTGAATGCTCTTATTATTAGATATATAGACTGTTGAGTCTAAATATTTATAATATAATTGACTGTTTTATGAAAAGATCTGAGTATCTACAAATTATAATACTGTGAATAGTGTTTATGAAGAAGTTTAATAAACTTAATACTGTAATACTGTGAATAATATTTATAAAAGTCTGAATATCTATAAATATTTCATTCTCTAGAATTATATATTTTTAGATATTGAAATAAGTTATCAACAGATCTATAAGCATCTGCTGTATTTGAATATAATAAATAATAATCTAGATCTATAAAGTATTCTTCAGCAGCAAATGCTGTAGATAACTGAGTTATAATAACAGCTTACTGAGATAAATATATCTATATTTACTATTTTCTCTATATCTGTATCTTATAAAAAGTCTCTGAGAGAGAAGTTTTCAATTCTCAATAAATACACAGAAGATCTAGTATTATATTTTATATAAAAGTTAAAAATAAATATTAAATTGATATTGATAGCTAAATGATAGATTTGTTATTGAATTAAGTATGATAATATCTACAGTAGATTAGAATAATAATATTGTTAGCAAAATTT